TTCATCGGAATGGTTTCCGGCAACCGAAAAAAGACCAAAACTCGATTTTTTTCTCTGGTGAGTGATTGATTGGTGATCACCTTCTGGGTTAGGGTTACAATACAGTGCCTTCCCGTTCTCTGCTGTATCATAATTTTTCTATCTGTGCCTTGGCGCGGTAGTTTTTGATTGGTCGAGGCTTCTTGACATCTAGCGATCAACGTAATCAACGCAAGGTAGGGTTTTGTAACTAGACAGGATCGCGCGGAATCTCACCGCAAGTGCCGTATGAAAAAAGGTTGAAAAGTTCAATTTCGATTCCAACGGAATTTTGAAGGCAAAAAAAAACAGCTTGCTTGTTTGTTGTTTGGCTTTTTTCCTTTTTTCCTCTCGAGGTATCCAATTGTTTTTTTTTTCTTTCCCAAACCAAACGAGATGATTCACTGATTCATTCATTCATGCATTCATTGGACGTTCCGAGCAAAAACCGTCTTTTCGAGAAAGCGTATCCGCACCCACTCGTGCCGCACGAAAGATYGGGTTCTTCGCCATTGCATAGCACAGCGTAGTATAAATACAATCGAGCCTCGCAAACGTTTACGGTAGTTCTGTTCGCCATCGATTGGTACTGTATTGTTTCACAAAACACAAATCGACACAATGGGCAACGATGCGAACGATGTTTCGATCGTGTATGCCAGCGATACGGTAGATTTCGGGACGATCCCGATGGCAAAGMCTTCCAGGATCGATCGCCACGAAACCACGTCGGAGAATTCCGGAGAAGACGGCACCGCCACCGCCGTCCCCGACGGAGAATCCTACGGGGGCAGCACCCAGAGCGAAAGCGACAGCGAGATCCTGGGCCACGCGCAATCGAACCCAACCCCGAGGCCGATCGCCACGGATCRCCACTACCACCACCACTACCGGTCCCATCCTCCGCAGCACGCGGGATCCCTCTGGTACCACTGCGGCAACGGCAGCAACCCCGAAAGCAATGGCTCCGACCCGAACAAGATCGACAACCGCGGGCTGGAATACATCCCCATTCGGCTGGCCTGTGGCCCCACCGCGTACTGCAGCCCCGACGTGCTCAGGAACTGCCCCATGGTCCTCCGGAGCGTCCAGGCCGATCTGGCGGGAATCCTGCGGATCCTCCCGGCGTCCGTCCACTCCCTCGTCCGCCGGACCAACCTCTGGCTGAACTGGAACGGGTACGCCTACGGCCCGCCCGCCCACCCCACCGTGCTGCGGCACATCACGACCCACCACCACCCGGCCTGGCTGGTGGAAGTCGCCAACGACGCGCCACGCAAGGCGGGTGGAATCGAAATCTATTCCTGCCTCGACTATGCGAGGATGCGCCTGCACTGGAACGGGAGCGGGTTGCTCCTCCACGAGTTCTGCCACCTCGTCCACCAGTGCTGCCTCGAGGACGGCCTGGACAACCGCACGGTGGAAGACCTTTACGAGGCAGCGAGCGACTCAGGAAGGTACGAAGCGGTGCTCCGACGGGACTGGGCGGGGAAGGTGGCCGCGGTGGAAGCCGCCAAAACCCCGGGCGTCGGCCACGCCGTTCCGTCCCAACCACCGGAGACCACCCCGAGAGACTTCGACCTGGCGTATGCCATGGTGGACAAAAAAGAGTTCTTTGCCGAGATGTCGGTCGCCTTTTGGGCCAAGGGATACCGCGCGCTGGACAAGGGCGATCCGGGCGCCATGGAAGCCTGCAGCCCGCCACTCCTGCACCCAGAGGTCACGGACCGGGTCCGGGTCCTGGCGGCGGAAGAACGCCGCCGGAAGCGCGAGCGGCAGCGCGAGCGCACCGGTGCAGACGAGAGGGAAACCGCCGCCGTCGTCCTCTTCTACCACTCGATCGAACACGAGTACAAACTCCTGGAGGCCGACGACGACGGCGAGGACCGCGACACCGAAGAAGACCCACCCAAGAGGCACCTTCGTTGCTGCCGCGTGCACGACGATTGCTGCTGGACACCCTTCCCGCCGTTCGTACACCGGTTGGCGAGAACCATCGGTGAGGCGATCGAACGGGGAGCGGCCGCTCTGGCCATCGGCCACCGCAACCACCACGACGAAAACGACGATTCGCGGCTGCGGCGAATGATCGATCCGGTCTTTCGGGAGGACGCCCTCAGGCACAACTGTTCCACCATTTCCCACTGCAACAAGTTTTATCCGTTTACCCGCGGTCAGCTCTTCCAMCACGACCCCCTTCTCGCGGAGGCCATGGGGGCGCTGTGGGGGGAGGTCCGGGCCTGGGAAGACCCGTGGGCCAGCACCCGCACCCGGAGGAGGGTGCAGCGGCAGCAGTCCTGCGCGGKGTGGTGCCCGTAGTAGCACAGCGCAGCGAGGCGCCACGGGCATTGCGSRGAACGGCACGACATTGTACTGCAGAGCACAGCACAGCACAGCASGAAACACCCACGAATCCGCGGCACGGCAAAACGAAAMAGGGCGGGCAACCGAGCCACGTCGGTGCGGTGCGGTGCTGCACTGCACTGCACTGCATGGCAATGCCAAAACAACGAGCTGGCTTCGTCGCAATGCGGTGCACGACAACAGCAACGGCAAGAATAGCAATATTCTTCACGGTGCATATGCTGCCGTGCCGTGCCGTGCCGCGATGCCCTGCCAATTGTGCCTGCCTCCATGGTTGGTTTGAAAATAATTTGAGTTGCAACGATGGGGATCGCTCAACACTGTTCCGTAAAAGTAGTATAGCAGTATGTTCCAAGTATAGTAGTATGTTCCAAATTCTTCGTCTATGATTATTGGTTATTTATTTATGTATGTATTTATTTATTTACTTGCTTCCTTTTGCTTCCGTAGCACCGTCCGTATCGTAATACTCGTAAAACTGATCCAGTTCGAACACGTTCTCGACGCTCCCAATAAAGAGCGGGCTCCTGGCATGGATTTCCTTCGGCTTGATTTCCAGTATTCGCTTGCGGCCGTTCGAGGCCGCGCCRCCCGCTTGCTCGATGATCATGGCCATCGGGGCGCACTCGTACAGGAGCCGCAGCTTCCCGTCCGGGTTCGACCTCGTGCTGGGGTATCCGTAGATGCCGCCGTTGACCAGGATGTTGTGGACGTCGGCGACCAGGGCACCGATGTACCGCGCCGTCATCGCCATGTCGACCTTGCTCGTCCCCTCCTTCAGGGAATTCAGATAGCGCTGGACGGGTTCGTCGAACCCGCGGGAGTTGGCCTCGTTGAAACTAAAGATTTTGCCCTTTCGGGGAATGCGGATGTCTTTCAGGGTGTGGAGGAAGGCACCGCTGTCTGGATCGAGCGTGAATCCGTCGACCCCGTTTCCGTGCGTCAACACCAGGACGGTGGTGGCCGAAAAGAGGCAATACCCGGCCGYCACCAGGTTTCTTCCGTCCTGCAGAAAGGTCGATTCGTCGACTTCCGACCCGGGTTGGTTTTTGTAGATTCCAAAGATGCTCCCAACGGGCAGGCTGGCGTCGATGTTTTTCGAGCCATCGATGGGATCAAAGACGGCGATGTACTCCCCCTTGGCAAAGGCGGAATCGGTCATCACGTCCGAGCAACACCTTGTTTCGTCCTCCTCTTCCGACGCCACGGAATGAATGCTGGACGATCCACCGCCACAAAAGGCACGAAGCATGTAGGTGTTGCACAAGACGTCGAGTTGTTGCTGGACTTCGCCCTGGATGTTGTCGTCGAGGGGCTTGCCGTCCGGGCCCAGGGCGACACCGTACAGATCGTCCGTCTGCGCTCTCTGAACTATCCGATTGATTTGTTTGCAGGATTCGGCCACCGACTTCAAAACGGGCTCGAGGTCTCGAAACTGCGGTTGCCTCCAGCATTCGATTTCGAGGTACCGCTGGAATGTTTTTAGATTTTTCTTCTTGTATTCGCCAGCCCCCATGTACAGCTGCGTCGATGTCGCTGTCGCTGTMCTACCGCTCTCGACAACCAAACTCTGTGCCGAAYGATGGGAAATGCCAACTCGGGATGGCATCCCTCTCGCACATCCACCGTTGGCTCGGAACGCCGAGCAAAACGCAATGTACGAAGCAATGCATAAAGATGCAATGATTRGGTGATAGCAACTTGTTGAAACCATCTTGGTGGTACTCGTTGCAGGTTGGTGAAAAAGTGTCGATGCTGAATTTGGAGAAGCAATGTGGGTAAAAATTGATGGGACAGCAATCGGTAAGGAACGTAATAGGTATGTTCTTTCCGTTCTGTTTCGGTGAAGGTCGCTAACAGTTTTTGCGGTTTTATTTTTTAAAAATGATTTTGATGGCAAAAAAGATCGGAAGGCGTCTGTTGCTTTTACGTAGACTGAAGTAGTACGAAAGTCCACTTTATCGTTCGACCTGCTAGCTAGTCTACTGGTGTTTCTACTCGTAGCKACCRGTAGAGAGCGTAAGGTACGAGTAGCCTCATTCGTACCAACAACAGTACGAACTTTCAGCTATTTCACTATGATTAGCATTCTTTTTTACACGTGGAAGGTGTTATGTGCTACGTACTGAAGAAGTTTTACGTCTACTACTACTATTCTTTAGCTATGTTGGTAGTAGTGATGGCATTATTATTATTGATAATGGTATCGTACTAGGAATAGMAWTGAACTCAGGCAAACGCTTTCCATCCGTCAGATTCAATGTCAGACTAGATTTTGCCAGTACGTTTAYTCATGGTTTGACCGTACAAACCGAGGAAGTTCTGCCGGAAGCGGTAGGAAAAGATCTATGTGAAAGGTGTACCAAAAGGTGACTATTCCGATGAAATATGCGAACAAAATGAACATCCGAAAYCGATGAAGGGGATGGTAGGCGTTGATTGCAAACCCAGGATTTGGTAATCCCATCCAATTGCAGTAGGAATGACTCAAAACCACCGGGAGAATGGAACCGGATCGAATGAAACCATAGGATGCATAGCTACCAAAAAGAGACGTATAAAGAAACTGAAAGGTTGTGGCGAGCATCACCATTCGTAGTTGCTCTCCATTCGATAGACGTGTCGCCGCGTGATGCAAATGAGCGAGCCCAAAAAAGAGAGGAGCTACCAGTGATACCCTACCTATGGACATTCCCGTAGCAAGCAGAGCTGGAACCATGCAGCCCCGGAATACAATCTCTTCGGTTAGGGGAGCAATGCAATAG